AGAATTAGAAAGAAAATGTGAAACTTTGTTTTTGAGAAAGCAATGAATGAATAGCATAAAATAAGCGTGAACTAAAAGTTTCATTGCTTCAGAAGGTTGTGCTTTAAACATAGAGCTTGTTGTCCATTCAAGACTTCCAAAAGAAATTCATGACTCGTCCCCTTATTGTTTGAATCAAAGCCAAAATAATTTGTTTTAATGATTTAAAATCTACAAGTTTCAAGTTGGACTGCAATTCTGGACTCTGAATCCTTTAAAAAAAAGAACAAACAAGAAAAAAAGACAACTGCTAGGCAACTTTGATACTTAAAATTCAACAATCATGTCTAATTGTCAAATTGGATGCTAATGATTAATGAATTAAACATGTCTGTATCCATTAGTCCCCAGAGACCACTCCTGCATAAAGGGGAGGATAATGTAATTACAGTGGAGAAATAATCAGCTTGGGGCATTAAAATAGAAATGCACCCACAGCTTCAGCCAGGTCCCACTGCAGCTCATTTTACACATTTACGAGAAACGCAACAGTGGGAAAAAAAACAATAAAAAACAAAAACAACAAAAAAAAAACTTGATGACCATAACAACCACAAAATCAGGTCCAAAGGATACATATTGAAGAGTTCAAGTTAGTGAACCTAAAAATTATTATGTTGATTTAAACATTTTTATTTTAAGTCACAATTATTAAATAGGTTTATTTTGCAAACGTTCAATTTGGCTAAAACTTAAATTTGAATACTTGTTTTTTTTTCTTTTTTCAGAGTTATTGAAAGTTGTGGTAAATATTTAAATATTCAAAATGGCTTTAACTCACAATAATGTTGAAAAATAACTTCATTTGAAGCTGCATTAATTCTATTCATTTCCTAAAAACATGAAGCCTTTCTTGCTAAATATGATGTTATTCGCTAGGTGTCAAAGGTTATTTAAAAAAAAAGTTATTAAGCTTTTATCCAGTGTTCGTATATACATTAAGATTTTCCAATAGAACGATATCTGTAGCTAAGAACATATAAAACCTTAAAATAAACAGCTAAAAAACTATTTTATGGAGTCACTGGGCCAGAAATGTAAGTAATTATCTAGTTAATCATTAACAAAAACTGGCTCTAAATAATTAGAAATTCTAGGTATCTTTTTTCCTACTGGCTGAGAGGTTGTCATCTATACATCTTTGATGTCTAAAAAAGTCAAATATAGCAGAAAGTATTTGGCGTTTTTTTAAACTATTTTTCTTAATGCTTTTAGAAAATAAAGTATCCAATCCACACTACAATGTAATTTGTTGACCTTTTTTTAGAAACAGAAAAAAAGGTGTGCATTTAATGAGTTTTTAAACTTAATGAAATCTGTCAATAGCCTAGATACCTAAAATAACAATAAATTCGCTACATGAGAAAACTTTCCTCTGGTTACTTTTACAAGCAATAATGAGGAATACTTTCTTTCCAACAAAATCCCAGAATCTTTTTTTATTGTGAACTGATTTTTTTATATCTCTTCTTAGTTTCCTTTTTTCCCCTCACACTAATGAACTCTTCAAAGTACCAAATCCTACTGTGGACAATTGTGTCATGAATATAAAGATGACAAAAGCCATATAGTGTCTTCTGCAGGCTATCCAGGGCTGGGGTGTTAAGTGGTGGCGATGGATTAGTGGGGAGCAGCTCTGCCTTGCTTCTCATTTCTCTTCAGGCCGGGCCGTCAGTGGGCTGATGAGCCGTGACGAGGCCTGACCCCTCCGTGGAGTTGTTGCCATTATGTACAAGTAGTGAGATAATGAAGCATTCATGCTAATGTGGGCAGGGCAACACATCATCTGCGGCGGTGTAATCCACCGCCATCATCATAACCGGCGCCCAAATGCCCCCCCTCCACTTCCCATACTGCTGCTGCTGCAGCTAGTCCCACCACAAGACACTGAGAACATTTAGTATTCACACTTGTGATGCTTTTATCATGGAATTTTACAAACTATCTGAATGAGAGATACAGAAAAATGTGTACTTTAACTCTTGTCTGGGACTCTCTGGGAATTTAATTTCTTTTTGAAAAGAAAGATTTCAGCTGTACTTGCTGTACTTTCAGTGATATTTTCAACAACCAATAAACATTTTTAAAAAGATCCTGAACTAGCTACAAATGTTTCTTTTTATATAACTGTAATAAGCTGTGGTAAATCAGCCCAAATGATCATAGAACTAATGGTGTTAATAAGTGGATATTATGTCATCCTGAGAGGTTAAGGGGGTATGAATTAAAGCCAAATTAATGCTTCCCCAACCTTTCCGTCGCAGGTTCCTGTTTGTGAGGGTCTTCCACTTTCTTCTCTGCGCTACAGCATGCAGCCCACTGTTTTGTGATCATCCAGACTGTGCATGCTGGCAATGCATGTGCGATAATAAAACTCCCATTTAAAAAAGTGGCAAACAGAAAAACAACCCACACAACAAAAGCAGACCATGTGTCAAACCACTAGCAGTGAAAGAAAAACACTAGGAATGCTTCTTTTGAGGGAGCACTGTATGATGGGGTTTATTATGAGATGGCTTATTGTCAGTTTTTTTCTTTAAAATAGGCAGTAGACAAACCAGAACATTATTGCCACCTACTGAACTGGAGTCTGAACTGTAAAACAATGACTTGAATGGAGTAGTGCAGAGGAGGGGCACAGAGTACCTCGCTTTGGTCAGAATAAAGAATTACTGGAATACTTTGGTGCTCAAAGGTGTTCGTTTTCTTCAGGCAACAATGAGCAGACTAATTGTGCTAAAAATTGTTAATTTATTGGTTGGAAGAAAGTGGTTTCAGGAGCAGAATCAGATTTTTTTAAACAATTTGGAAAAAAAGTCAATTTGTCTAAGAAAGTTAGATTGATTTTATGAACTTGAATGAAAATCCCACATGTGACATGTTAGTTATGCGTCTACAAAAATAAAGCCAACAGGAAATCAAACAGAAAGAAAAAATAAGTAGGTCCTCTGGGTGGGTTCTTCTTTAGTGAAACGTTTCATCTCTCCTCCAAGAGACTTCTTCAGTCTGATGAGTTTCAGGTGAACTCAGCCTTGTCCACATAGTGGACAAACAGGTTAGTCACATGCAAGAGAGGGCCATCGCCTAAAAATAGGCTTGATTAGTTCTATTGTTCATAGAGGGTCATGTGCCCCATCACCTGAATTATTGGTTTGGATGCTTTGGGTGTGGCTATTTGGTGTTTTGTTATGAGTATGTATGGGTTCGACGTCCCCTTGAGGAAAGATTTTTAAACACAAGTTGTTGAATTTAGGAAAGATTTCATCACTGCTTGAAATACGAGCACAGAGTTGTTTTATTTGACTATTGGCAAGCTCTCAATAGCTTGCACACAGTTACAAAGAAACACGCTGAAGCCTTAAAAACACTACCTACAGCAGGTCAGACTGCTTAAATGGTCCAAAGCTGTCGGACAGAGGCTGGTCAACAACCGAGTGGATGTTTGTTCTCGTCACTAAATGATAATGTGGTGCAGGGAAAGGAGATGCTAAAAAACACTCCTGAATTTTCCACCTCTTCCTCGTGGAGAGGCAGTATCCCTCCCTCCCTCCCTTCCTCACAGGATTGATTAGAAATGACTGGGCCCATTAATAGTTAGATACAGTGTATCTGTCGCCGGTGACATGGCAGGACGCGTTAACAGGGAGGATCATATTTAAAACGGTTCCGCTCAGCACCCAGCAAAAGAATTAAACCCGGCTGCTCGGCAAACACGTGAGCGCATGCGTTCTCACATTTACTCTGTGTCTTCTCAACCTTTCCTCTTCATCTTCCCGTCTCCCCACCCCACCCTGTCCACCCTGCCCCACCCGCTCCGCGTCGCTATCCCTCTTCTCCCAGTGATTATAAAAGGTCTTTAGATCTAAGGAATGAATGAATTACCAAAGGCAAAGACAAGGCTTGTGATTTAGAYGCTGTGAATGAAAAATTACCCCTTTGTTCCCCTCATCAATTGCATGTCTAATGAAATCAAAAGCCCGATCGCATAATCAGAAGAGGGTCCTCCACCCAGAGAGAGACCTGATGTGATTTGTAACCTTTCTTTTCCTAAGTGGAGATTAAGGCAAATCTCCACCACATTGTTTCCTGGTGCAGAAATGAATGGCAGCTGAAAATCTTGTAAATTTTGTCACTAAGGAGTTTTTCCCAAAAATACAAAAAGCAAAACAAACATAGATGGGTTAAAAAAAGGAAACAAAAAACAGTTTGTGCTGTTCTCCATGTTTCTTTGATGACTTCCTCCATCCAGTGCTCAAGGTTAGGAGGCGTTTGTAGAATTGGACAACCTTTATCTAATACCCTGTGTTCTGTAAACTCGTAAATCTTCCTGCTTTTGACTGATTAACCCGTTAAGCAGTGGCAGCATCTTGTTCGTGTTTAACGGTAACCTGCCTGTTTGGTTCCAATGGTGTCCAACGACTGGTCATTGGCACTGAWCCCCGTCTCAGTAGGTTAGCTCTAGCCTGAAAGATGGAAACTCTGCCGGTTTCACAGTGGATGAGGGACCCCACCTTCCTCTGGGGATCACTTCACTAATTAGTATTAATTACTCTTAATCCTAGCCCCCTGTAACCAATCACTAGCCTGCCAGACTCTTCGCAACCTCTGGTGTTTCAGCTCATTTGGAGAGGAGTCCTATTTTTTAATTTAGAAAGTGGACAAACTGTGGCTGTTTTTGCAACCACCAGGGATGAAATGCAACCAGGTCAGTGTCACAATGACTTAAAAATTTATCTTTGTGAGGATATAACTATTTATACTACTACATGAGTGTAGTGCTTAAACATGCTTTAATTCCCCGACCAGTAATCTAGAGAATTAGTAGATTTGTCAGAAACGATCATTAAGTCATCATTGTGTATGATGCACCTCATTTGCATAAATGCAACTTATAAAAATGTAGATAATTAATCAGATGGGAGTCATTTTTATGATTAATCACAGAGTACAACATAAAATTAGTTCAGTAATAAAATACTAATTAGGTCACTGTTACATAATGTATTGGTGATTTGTTGCATTTTTGGAGGCAAAGAATGATTATAAACATGACTTAATGTATTTCTTTTGACTGCTCTTTTCTGCAGGTGCTGCCACAGACATGAACAATTTGGCAATCGTTTTACACTGAATGCACTATTAAATTAAATAAAATATGTCCAACATTAGGGTTATTAATATACTTTTATACACCGACCATTACGACTCTAGAGGTGTAACAGCACTGGGTTGACTTCAACCCCAATCTCAATGCTGCCTTGGTTTCTACATAAATCTCACTAAAGCATGAAAAAGGCATCAAAGCTTAAAAAAGTGTTTTGCAAAAGAGGTGGTTCATTGACAACAATACTGAATAGTGGTCTTTTTGAAGTTTGAGTATTTTTTAGAATGCAAAGCCTTTAGCTTGACTCTTCTTAGGAACCTCTCTGATTCTGCAAACTGAAATGGCTGTGATTGCTGTTGGCTGTAACTAACTGCTGATTGCTTGCCCACAGAACACCAGAGCCTTTTCACTGACTTTTGCTAATGTGACCTCGACAGTTTCATTTTTGTTTTATAMAAAACGTTGCTGGTGTTCCGCTGGTCATACCATTGCACCATGCAACATTTATACTGGTTTGTTATCAGATTCAGGTCACATCATTCAATCATTCTATGTTTTTTATATTTTTTTATGCTACAAGTAATTTGTTCCTGGCTGACTATAGTTTGGATACCACAACAAAGCACAACAAACCCAGTCTTTAAACATGACTCACTATCTGAGGACTATTATTATTTTAAATAATTTTTTCTTTGTGACAAACACCGTTTACACTAGGCTTGGGCGGTATGATGGTATACCTCAGTACTGAAATATGGTGACAGTATTTAAAAAAATATGATGGCATATTAAAGGGATCCATGATTAGTTGTAACATTAGATTTTATTTAATAAACATGTATTTTAACTGTAAAATAAAGGCTGTAAAAATACTGTAGGATGTTCAGTTTTTATCATTTTTAAACTAAAATTTTAAAAATATATCACTCGGATGGAGCCATTTTATTTACATGCAAAGCATTCTGGGTAAATGATGACATGGATAGGTCCTTGGTGCGAGGCTGCTAGCAAGCTATATCCACACTGAAGGTTGATCTTGGACAATATCTGATGATTGGCTCTTTAAATGAAACCAGAGAGCGTTGACAGAGAGGAGAAGGTAAAAATGACTCAGCCTGCAACTGAAAATATGGATGGAGGACCTCAGTTTAGCTTGTTTGTCATGCTAGCACTGAGCTAATACATATAAGGCAATATAGCGTTGGCACTAGCGCAAAGACTAACAGGCTAAGCTGAGGTTCTTCTTCCATGAAGCAGCTCTGTTGTCCTCCATCTATATTTTCAGTTACAGGCTGAGTCATTTCTACCTTCTCCTCTCTGTCAACGCTCTCTGGTTTCATTTAAAAGAGCCAATCGTCAGATATTTTCCAAGATTAACCTTCAGGGTGAATATAGCTCACTCACACCGAGGACCTATCCACGTCATCATTTACCCAGAATGCTTTCTGTGTAAATAAAATGGCTCCATCTGTGTTAAAATATATATTTTTTAAATTTTACAAAAGTAAACAGCCTACAGTATTTTTACAGTCTTTATTTTACATTTAAAATATATGTTTATCAAATAAAGTCTAATGTTACAAATAATCAGGGATCCCTTTAACCCTCTGGAGCCTCGTCCCATGACTAGCTAGAAAGATATGCCCTCTCTGAGACTCTGTTTCAAGTTGTGTTAAAAGTGGAGACATTTTATACAACAAACTATACACGTTTTTCAAAGTTGTGTTTATAGGCCGAAAAATAAAAAAAACAGAGTTATGGTAAATAGTATACACTTTTTTTCTGAAAAAGACTGTCCCATTTGATGAGTGTTGCAGCGGTAGGCAGAAAGAAACACGCTAATCTCGTGGAGGAAACAGCTCAATCCGTCATCAGTCTTTACCTTCTCTAGAGCTAAAAAAAGAGTTTGGATGTGACGGTGAGTGGGGAGAAAGTAACACACCACAGACATGCCCCACGCCCAGCCCCTTTCTGACTTACCCCGGTAATACCTTACAGCGTAGTCGATGTGAAAAAGACCAGTCCTGTCCAACTCTATTTTACATAATAACAATGATAAATTCTTCCCCCATGTAAAACTGTACACACCCTTCTTGCAGAAATTTTCCATCCAACACTTGGGCAAAGTCCTGAAGAGCAGCCGGTGAAACAGTAGACAAACATAACAGCAAATCTTCCTGAGCATTCACAGAAATGAAGCAAGTGTAAATGCTGGTTTAAACTCTTTTCTGCTGACCTGTAAGTTGCTTTTCACTTGTCAATACTGTGGATACATGCAAATAATGTTGTATTGATATCAACACAAAAAAGTAATCAAGGAACCTAATCCGCCATTAATGACCTGCTTCTTGTCCTGCTTCTGTTAGTATAGATGCTTCCTTGCATCACCTTTACTCCTTCTTCGCTTTGTGAGGGAGCGGTTTCACCAACAAAATGGTGTATACTGTATAAATATTTACATTTTTAATAAGCATCTCAGATGTTCATATGTGAAAAATGACCAGCGCTAACCCATGTCATACTGTATAAACCAGTACAAGTGTGTTGTGGGTTGTTTTTTTCTGCAGCAAAACAGTGGCCTGTTTCATTTTAAGGATGCAGTCACTGTCAATATTTGTGCATATAAACAATAATAAATGAAGGTGCACAGGTGGGAGAACTATAAGAGCACCACTTTCAGTTTATGGATTTACACACATTCATGCACCATTTGCGGGAAAACATTTCTTTAGGGCACGTTAGTTAACCAGGAGGAGGACACATAAAAAAATTAATTGCACCGATTTGGATAGAGGAGGTAATTTTACAGCTTTAGCAGCTGCTGTTGTGTGTTGTTTTCACAATGTCCGGTCCTGGCCTGTTTGTAACTTCTTTTCTTTTTTTTTTTAACCTACGTAAATTTTATAAGCCTGCGCAAACTTCGTAAACTGACCAAGTGTTTACGCCCTCCTCCAAAAATCCTACCTAAAAGCCTGGGTTCAGGAGTTTTGCTCTTTGGAATGTACGAGTTACTGCAAATCACTTTTTAATTCTGGGATTTATTGCTTGTTTTTGCAACTGCATTAAGCTTTKTTTTCCCCTAGTATTCATTTGACTAAAAAGTACAAATGGGTTTTAATGTGTTCATACCTGTGTTTCCGATGCCAAGCTGCAGGGCGCTGCGGTCCTTGGTCAACCCGTTGGTTTTGGGACTAGCACTGGGTGCCACAGTTGCCACAGCTCTGGGGGGTCGCTTCCCSGGAACTTTGACCGTCGTCCTCAACAAGTCGATCTCTTTCCCGTGAACATTCTGCATGTAGTCCTGTGGGGACGACCGGAATGAGCACTTAGTACAAATAATGTTGCAAATACATCCCTTGATTTGGGCACTCGATTACGCACGGTGGACCACCAACAAGAATCCAAGAATTATGGAGGAAAAACTAATTAAAAGACTATTCAGTTTCCATCCCCATTAGTCACAACCCACCTTAGATCTTCCGCTAAGAGTGCGTGATGGTGGAAAAATGATTGTAAAGCCATTATACATCACCTGTGCCCACGCCAGCTCCCTAAATAGCAGGATGTTAGGCTTAATGAATGCAAACTGTCTCATTCTGTTTCAATTTGCCTGTTTGATTTGGTTTAAAGCGACTACCGCCTAAATGTGGGAAGCCAAGGTGAAAATCATCGGGCTCAGCAGAAAAGAAAAAAAAAAAGACCCAGATAGAGGCGAGCTCGGCCCTTGCCGTCCCCCCAACGGCTCCTCTGCTTTATTACCGTGTCATAAAGCACTCATTTCTTTCCCAAGCCTCCTCACTAATTACCCAGTGAGCGCTCTCATTTCATTTTATTGCTGGAATTAACAGCCAGATCGAAGCGTGCAAAGCTATTAAGATGTGTGATTAAGCCACATTCAATTAGTTTCTACAAACAATTTAATTGATGTAGCAGATAGAATTAACAGAAGGTGATTGTGTAGATGGCTTGGCTGACTGCGAAATTAAAGGTTCCCCTCTTCCACTCTCTGGTTGCCTCCCCTCCTTTTCCCTTTCTCTTCCTTCTCTGCTCCACTGCCTCAAATGAGCTTGAGCTGTTACCCCGTTAATGTAACTGTCTGCCTTCTTTCACCTTCTCTTGTAAGTCAACACATTCATAGATTCATAGATCGCCCCGGTGACCTGTAATAGCTGTAATGATCAAGAGATAGTCCGTTCAGTCAATTACATACATCACCGTAGCCCGCCGCTGCTCCGCTTTAACTGCCTGTAAATTAAACCACTAACACACTGTCAGAGGAGCAAGGCCACACACAAGGTCCGTGTCTAACCACTTGGACTGGTTTTTGAAGTTTGAGCCATCTCATTAGACGCAGTGTCTTTCATTTCATGTGGCAAAAATGATCTCTACGTCTCCAAAAAAAAAAAAAAAAGAAAAGTGGAGAAATCAAAGGGTGATGGAGGGAGTTGGAGGGGCATCTCTGAGTGCAGCACCGGGGCTGCTAAGCTGTCTGCTGCCAGGCCAGCCGAGTGTTTAAGAGGTATTAGCGGCCCAGCGGGATCCTGACAAAGATGGATGTGGGAGGCTGGTCAGGCTCGGCTGCCATGCAGCGAGAACCATTATAAATAAAAGCCAGCGTGGAGTCCGCAGAAGAAGCGCCACGTCTCCATTAGCCAGCAACATGGACGGACGCCACAGCGAGAGCGGTGATGACCACAAGGACACCCTGTTTTTTTTTTGTTTTCTTTAACGTTATGTTTTAAAGTCAAAGGGTTAGCCAACACTGCCATTATAGAAATCGCATCACAAGAAATGTGCTTGGAAGGCCCATTTGAAAACATTCACCAAACAGCAAAGTGACAAAACTTTAAAGCTCAAAGGAAAAACCGGAGAGAAAGTAGGAGAAGGAGTTGATACTCACATGTAAACTGGGGTGGTAAGTGAGGACGCCATTATCACACAGTGTGACATATTTCTTTTTCCACTCCTTGTTGAGGGATTTGCCACTTCTCTTCAGAAGGATTCCCTGTAAGAGACAAAACACCACAGTGAGCCTATGCTCCTCCAAAAGCAGCACGGTTGATGACATGAACCATTATAGATGTTAAATACCATAAAACTGTTATTATTGCTGCTACAGATTTGTTATGGTGCCTCTGAGGGGATTTTCTTCCATGGTACATCACAAGTCAAACAATGACCATTATCTAATAAGAAAACATGAGTAGCTGCAATGAGTTTCTTACTTTGTTGCTGTTATTTTATAATTAGATGGCAAACAGTTTCCATAATACTTAAATGTGTGTTGTTGGAATTTGAACCCACAAAGTTGGTTAAGTTCTGCCGGCATAGAGACCATTCATATAGAAGGACAATCCAATTTGCCAGACCTCCTCCATGCATTCATACACATTACATGTTGACCCCTGGAAGACCTCTCAATCCTGGGATTAGAGAGTGTGATCTGTCTTCAAAGCCCCTTCAGCTCTTTTTCTATTCTACTTTATCTTTTGTGGGGGTGCTTTTAGGGGTCTTAGATGGTTTCCTTATCTGCAGAGTAAATCCACTGGTAAACAATGCAGTTCCTCTGCTGGAGGTGACCAAACGCCGCCGAGTGCAAGGGCCAGGAGGCTCTCCGGGGTTAAACAGCAAGGAGGGGCCCGCTTAATTAGGGGATTAGGCCGGGGCAATGTTTGTGCCTTTTTACAGCCAGGTCCTGAGTTGTGTGTGTGTTTAAAAAAAGGGGAGGAGGCGAGTGTTTTTTTTTTTTTTTTTTTTTGCTAGTCAGGATCATTTTGCGGCCTTTAATCCTGATTAACACATCAGGAAGAAGTGACCCTTGGTGACCTGGGCACCTGGCTGTTAACCGACAATCATCCTAATCCAAACCCTGATTCATCTGAGAGGAAGGCCAATCCTGACTGTTGATTTCATGGTGGGATCAAAGAGTTTAAGTTTCAGATTTTACCATTACAAATACTAGTTTGGAGAATCTATCCATGTAAAAATAACTTTTGGAGTAATTCAAGATGGCTGCCACAGTTAAACACCCTTATCATGGAATACTATGTCAACATGAAAGACATTAGGCTACAATTTAGTGTGGTGGTAGCTCAGTCATCCTCAACACATATTATAAATGCTAATAGATTAGAAAGATTTGTGTTAAAAGATTTGTAAAGTAAAACATTGTCTGTTTGTTTGCAACAGACCTGATAAACCACTGAACAGGTTTTATTGAAACTCACAGAAAATAATCACTGGATATACATCTACAACTGATTAACTTTTGGGATCAATCCAAATCAAGATGACTGCTGCAGGTAATCAATCTTAGCAAACACAAAACTGTACATAACTCAGGTAATTCTATAGAATAATTTGGTGTGTTAGTAGTCAGCCTCAAAACATACCTTAAGCACTAATTGCTTAAAATCTTCATTCGAAGCTTTGGAATTAACAAGTAAATTTTAATTAGTTGTTTAAAAAATTGCAAATAAATCCTAAATGCCTTAACCAGTTAGTTGTTATAAAAGCTCAAGATAATTTTTTGAGAAAAAAAATGAGTCTCTTGATCAATAAGTTGCTGACTGCTGAGACTCTTCTCAATTTAATCAATAAAAGAACTGTAAACACTTTTTTAATGGGTCTCCACTCATACAAAGTAAATGATCCAGTGAAACGCCCTCCGGCAACTTCATAATGCATGTTTTACAAGCAAATATGTTGCTCATCTTGTGCCTTTACTGAAGCAGACACAAATCTATACTTGCGATCAGTGTGAAACTCTGCATTATTTATCAGAGCCGTGATGAGGATCGATAAAGTGGCGGGAGTATTATGTGAAAATCTACCTTTTTCGTGTTGTTTTTAAAAACACTTGCCAAATGTGGCTGTTCCACAGAAATCATTTGTAATAATGGCTGTACTGTTGGCTTCATTGAACTGGTGTTTTTGAAAGAGGCTGCTTTCTAAAAAGGTATGGACGTATGGTTTGTGTTTCTACTCAAAACTGACCCCCAAACACAAGGCGAGTGCGTTAAAACCTGTGGAACCCGAGGAACCAGGCTGATCATCTGTGCTCACACCACTGTCATATCTGCAGAGAAGACAGGAAGTGATTCTCTTCTCTTGTTGAACAACCAGAAGAAAAGCTGCATCCTGCCCTGACTGACAGGATGGTCCTTTGTGGCGGGGGGTCTGTAATACACAGGAATGCTACTACGGAGCAGTGACCTTACTAAGGGTATTCAACATGGAATTTGCCAATGTGATCTTTTGGTTGTTGCATCGAAATCAGCTGCAGCTCACATCTGCAACCAGACTGCTGCTGCAAATTAATCTCTTTGTAGTTATAGAAAGGGGTATTTGGGGG